GTCCCACGCACCTTGAAGAAAACCCTACCTGCATAAAGCCTTGTACACAACCCTTACAAGTTTTCTAGAGCCGTATCGAAGCGTATAGAACGGTACAGAGCCATCCCCAAACCCTAAGCCCTAAACCCTATGGGAGTTTCCGAAAATAGGGCCTACTATGGTACCCAAAATAGTAGGATCCTTAATAATAAAGACGCCAAAATCAGGTACACCGAATTTTCGGAAACTCCCATGTCTTATAGAGACTCTATCAAAAAGAGTACCCTACATAATAGGTGCCGTATTATATTAGGGATCTAAAAAGGGACCATAATTCTGGCAATTACCCATATATTATAGAGCCTGTATCAAAAAACCGTCAATGAGAGAGATTCCTGGCAGGGATACCATGTCGGGGAGCCCCCCCGACGGGCGCGACATAACACTTCCGAAGTGGTTTAGGCTTTACCTTAATCCTGAAGAACCTACCTGAATGAGGACTTATATAAGGAAATCATATATAGGGAACCTCAAAAACGTAGGTTATTCAGGGTTAAGGTAGAGTTTAGGGATATGAGTAGAGGTTTGGGGGTGAGAGATCTTCATCTCCCAGACAAGAAGACCCTTGCACACTAAACCTTAAAAAACCAAACCCCCGAAACCCTCCGGAAGCCTCAAGTCAGAAGCCTCAAGACTCTAAGCACTAAACTGTAACGAGAACCTTCATGCCCTTCAAGACATACAATTACGAGCCCGTGCCCACTTCAGAGGCCAGATCTCTGCAAACCCTGGCGAGAAGTGAAACCCTAAACCCCAAACCCCTAAACCCCTAAACCCTAAATCCCTAAACACGTCAACCCTAAACCCTAAAGCCTGCAGCTTCTTCAGAGGTTCTTGGGCTCCTCATAGCAGCTGCCGCGGACGTGCATGCGCGGCTGGCACCGAGGAGACGTCTGGAGGCGTGGTGTTCGAAGCCCGAAGTCAAAGGCTCGATGTGGGAGTTTCCGAAAATTCGGGGTACCTGGCGTCCTTATAGTAAGGATCCTACTATTTACGGTACTAGATTTGGGTCTCCTATTCTCGGAAAACCCCATGTACCCATATGGTAGGTACTTAGGCCTTAGAGTACTTATATAGGGACCCCTTTAAGGCCAAAGTACCTACTATATGGGCACATGGAGTCTTAGGGAAAGCCCGAAGTCATGTACCTGTGTAGCATAGTGTTCTATATGATTGACGTAGGTTCTACAAGACTTTATGGGGTTGAACTTATAACTACGTTTTGTGAAAAGGTTTATAGAACCTCGACGTTTCTGCTGCCTTACTATGCAAGTTTGCCCATAATGAAGAATATACCATAGTTCCCATAGTTTCGGGTCCTTAAGGTACTGCAGGATGTTGATTGTAAGTGACTCTAGGAGGCCTTCACAAAGCATTTGGCCCCTACTTGAGCCCAACGGAGCTTCTCAAGAGAGCCTGAAACCCTCAGTCCCGAATATAGGGTATACCTTAACACCGAATAACCTACCTTTTAAGGACCTATATAAGGAAATCATAGTGGGCAATTATTCAGGGTTAAGGTAGGGTTTAGGCCTTAGGGTTTAGGGCTTAGGACTTGGGGCTTATAGGGTTTAGGGTTCAGGGATAGGGATCCTGCATATTCATGAAGCTCCTACCGTACGTACTACAACGCCAGTGAGAGCATGTTCCTTTTTTGAGGGTCCTATAAACCTTACGAGCGAACTGCATTAATGCTTTTCTTCGGGACCGCAGACAGGACCCCTTGAAGGAACCCTTTAAAGGATTTCGTACGTGATCCGTTTCAAGGAACCCGTGAAGGAACCCCTATATAGATCCCTTAAAGGATTCCTTCAAGGAACCTGTAACCAATCCCTTTAAGGGAACCCACAAAGTGATCCCTTTCTAAAGGAACCCTGAAAAGCCCCAACACCCAGACCTGGGCCAGAAAGGTCTATCTCGAGCGGCCATCCATCCACCAGGCAGATTCCCTGACCATTTGACCCAGAGGGTCCTTCAAGGGTTTAGGGTTTAGGTTTCTTTAGGTGCTCCTTTGAGGATATGACTTTGGGGTATGAGGGTCCATATATACGACCATAGATTCCCAGGCCATTTAATATTAGGGGCCTTAATCGTTGAGAAGGGCTCCTTTAAAGGGTTCTGTGAGGACTACTAATGGGGGGTTAATGGTTTAGGGTTTCTTTTGAATAAGAAACACCTTAACCCTGAATGGGTTCCAAAAGGTTCTATAAGGGATCTACAAAAGGATTCTATGATGTAGGGGCCTGAATGGAATAAGGTTTGTGGGGTTCCTTACTATGATTATAGTCTAATATACCCCGAACCCTATTCTATTATCAAAAAGTTTTGGTTCAGAAACATATGGGGGTTTCCCAAAATAGGGGACCCTAATATTTATAGTACCCTAAATAGTAGGATCCTTATTATAAGGACCCCAAAATAAGGTACCCCTAATTTTGGAAAGCTCCCGTATCTTAAATCATGCGACGACTCCGAGTATGAGGTGGGGGCCTTTCCTGCAAGAACACTCTTCACTAAAACCCTATCTTAATCCTGAAGAACCTACAATTTTTAAGGACTTATGTAAGGAAATCATAATACGGAACCCTAAAAAGGTAGGTTCTTCAGGGTTAAGGTACACACTAAACTCACATTTCCCAACACCCTAGACCCCTCGACTCCCTATATCCCTAAACCCTGAACCTTGCCAGAACCCTAAACCAACTCCCTATGAACCTAAACTTCTTAGAGCTCCAAATTCAAACCCTACCTGTAGCCGAAAAGACCTACTTTTGTAAGGAACTGTATACAGAAACCATAATAAGGAACCCTAAACCCTAAACCCCTAAACTCCTAAACCCGAAAGCCCTAAACCCCTAAACCCTTAAACCCCTAAACCCCTAAACCCTAAAACCCTAAACCCTAAACCCCTAAACCCTTAAACCCTAAACCCCCACCCCCTAAACCCTAAACCCCTTAAACCCTAAACCCGCAAATCCTAAACCCAAAACCCTAAACCGTTACTAAGGGTACGTTTCGCCTGTCAGGTCTGGGGCTTTCGCTGGGAACAGAAGGCTCTGAAGGCAGGGGTCGAGGGGTTTGAGATCCTTCACACCTACCCTACAGTTTAGGGTTTAGGGGTTTAGGGTTTAGGGTTTAGGGGTTTAGGGTTTAGGGGTTCAGGGGTTAGGTGAGGGTTTAGGGTTTAGAGGTTTGGGGTTTAGAGGTTTAGGGGTTTAGGGTCTAGAGGTTTAGGGGTTTAGGGTTTAGGGTCTAGGGTTTGACTTCGGCTCTCAGCACTCATGAAAAGGGGTGCTTTTAAGGGGATCTACAGCCCTTGGGCTCTAGAATCAGGACTCATGAAAAGGGATCTATAGGGGTTCCAAAAGGGTTTCGTTAAGGGGATCTATCACCCTTGTGGCTCTAAGGACTCATAGTTGAGGGATTTTGGGCCCAAAGACCAGACTATACAAGGCTTTGGGGCTTTTTTGAGCTTTACCCTGACCCTACAGGGGTCGAGGGCTTGAAATCCTTCACAGCTAACCTTCAAACTTCGAGGATTTACTTCAACCCTGAATAGCCTTTGTTATGGTTCCTTATGATTTCCTTCTGTAAGTCCTTAAAAAGGGGTTTTTCTGCGGGGTTAAGGTACGTAGGGTTTAGGGGTTTGGAGTTTAGTGGTTCGGGCGAAGGCTTGTGGATCTCTGAATCGTTCTAGATCTTCCCATATGGAAATTTCCGAAAAGATACTCAATACCAAAAGGGAGCCCTTTTTATTCCTAGGTTAGTGGGCATCCTAGTGAATCAGCAGTGACCCCAAGGGTCCAAGCACCCAATAGTCATATACTCTCCAAAATCCTAACCTACATAACTACTATCCTAAAACCGAGTACCTGATTATTGGGTCCTTTGGACCCTTAGTGACCTAGTAGTAGAGTAGGTAACCTTTAACCTTCTTTGGGTAGTATAGTCCCTATATAATCCCTACATGACCAAAAGGTTATGTAACCTTTAGTTCCCCATGCTACCCGACAAGTACGGTGAATCAGCAGTGAGCGAAAGGCACAGCGCCGCGTTGTCGAGGCTGTGCTGCCACGAACACCGGCAGGCCGGCGGAGGAGCTCCCTGCAATCCTACAAGGGCCCATGCCCAATTAGGGTTCCTTTAAAGGGTTCCGTTAAGGGTACTGAGAATGCATTCTTACATTGTAAATTCTGCATTACCTTAATGGCCCTGGACTGTGGGAATTTTGGTATGTTCAATGGAATTATTTCAGCAACCGTAGTAGTAGAGTGAGGCCCTTCCTTTAAAGTAAGAGTGCATTCTTAGAAGTAGAGAAAGGTTGAGGGCTCATGGTTTAGTGGCTAGCGTAACTTTTCACATGTTTGTTTCGAGGGGAGTATACTATACTCCCTGAAAGAGCCCAAAGGTTAACCAAGCATTTCCGTGTACGATCGATGTTGGACTGTTTCGCGACATTTATCTGTTTCGAAACTATTTATAGCTACCACTATCATCCTCATGATTCTTTGTCGTGGTTATCAGCCTTCTTGTTAATCTTGCGGATGCTCCTCTTCTGTTGCCGTAGAGGTTTGCGTAATGTAGAGGTTTGCAAAACTTATGCTATTCTTTATCGAGGCTCCCGAGTACAAGTATAGTGCAGTCTACACCAACACCCTCGTCGAATTTATCGGACCGTATACGGAATTCTCAGTTGCAGTAACAGTCAGGTGGCCCCAATATTTGCGCTTCGATTGTGGTTCTTTCTGTCGTTTACGTAATGGCCTCTAGAACCCTCACCATAAAGCTGGTTAGCCTCAGAATGTAGCCGCATTGGAGAGTCTAGGTAGTGCTGCGGAGTCGTGCGTGCGTCTTTGGCACAAATCTGTCGGGAGTTGCAGTCAAAGTGTCCCGTCCTTGCAGTAGGTCAGTAGGACACCAGGATCCCCCACTGGATCCAAAGGGAAAGGGAGCCAGTGGCGATGGTTACAGGTAGTTGTTTGTCTGCCGCATCTGACGTGCTGAAAGCCTGCTTCGGTAAGGACGGCAACTTCACGGTCATCGTGAAAGATGCATCGCATCAGGAACTTGAAGATGAGTCGACGGTTAGGTTTAGGGTGTGGTCTTCTCTGCTTGCTCAGTGGTCTCCAGTCTTTGAGAAGATGGTCGGATCAGATTGCTATGCCGAGTCGCAGAAGTCGGAGGTGGTCATCACAGACTTCTCGGCTGGTGCTGTTGAGATGTTCCTGCGATTCTTGTACTCCGGGAGCATTGAGGGCTCTGTGGTAGCTATGGTGGAAGTCGCAGCCATATCAGACAAGTATCAGGTCAAGGAATTGCATGACTTATGCTTGCATCTTGTGCGGCAGGCACTGAAACCTGAGCTGGCCTGTGAAGTCTTCGCGGCCGCAGACCAGTTCCACATGGGTGACTTGCGAGCAGAGGCTCGCGATCTCATCTTCACCAAGCCTTTCGAGGCCCTGAGAAAGCCTCCGGCTCTCTGGTCGGAGCTGTTGGAGGAGATCCTCAGCTCAGGCCTGCTCTGCGTGACGGATGAGTTTTTGAGGTTATTTATCCTCACAGCTTGGGGGACGGAACGAGGCCGCACCCTCTCCCTCCAACCCTCCATGTACATCGAAGCACGTAATCTCCACACCGTAGACGTGCTGGGCACGATGTGGGATCGCTATCGGACACTCTGGGCCCTACTCCGGGACCCGGGCGAGTGTTCTATGGAGCCTTTTCATTGGTATCGGGTGTCGACGCTCCTAGCGCCAGGGGCCGAAGCTTTTATCGCGGGGCAGTCCGAACACACATCGTCCGATCTACCGTGGATGAAGAGATTTACCATCCGGAAAGGGTGGGTGCAGTGGCTGCTCGAACATGCTTGGGTTCATCTTCAGGGCTTCGACTTCGGAGATTCCTGTGCAATACCGGCCTCGACATCTTTCCGGGTCTGGTCCTCCCAAGACGGTGTGACCTGGCACCTCGCTATCGAGTCGCACAAGAAGGAGATCAAATCGGGCACTGTCCTGGCTTGTGAGAGACCTCCAGGCCTGGTGAAGTATTTCAGGCTACAAGTCCTCGAGGGTTCGCTTGTTGACATTGATTTCAACATCCACGGCATTTTGCAGACGCCACTACCGCCGCCACCAGAACGACCACCCGCATATGTTCCACAAGGGATTTGACAGCACGAGCCCGTCTGCTTGGCAGCTACGCAAAGTGTCGCACCGTGTCTAGCCAGCAGGTCCCAAACCTACCCCAAACTTTCAGCTCAGAAGACCGACTATAGGAGGCCTGTAAAAGGAAGCGTCATAGGTGCCCCTTCAGTAAGAGCGGTGACAGGCCCTGGTGGTGATAATCTTTCTGAGGATTGGTTCAGCAATCCATACAAGGGTCCGTGTACTCTTATGATATAGACTTCGGCCTTAGTGTAGTCACTCTATAGTATGATGGTCCATATAGGCACTTATGCTATATATAAGTATATGCACATGGACCCTTATCCCCCAAACCCTACGCCCTGATGGTACCCGTGTAGAGCCCTGAAATTGGAGCCCTTAAACCTTCTCAAAGGAACCCGTAAGGAAGCTTCTCAGCTGCCCTAGAGCTAAAACCCTAGACCCTAAACGCTTAAAGCCCTAAACTCTAAAAACCCTAAACCCTAAATCCCCAAGTCCCTATAATCCCTTTAACCCTAAACCCCTAAACCCCCTAAATCCCCTAAACCCCCTAAACCCCTGTAGATGGCATTCTTGCCGAGCCGTTCGAACCCCGGGCGGTTCGACAGGTGAGACATCGTAGGATAAATCCCAAACAGCCCTGGAGCGGGTTTAGGGTTGTGTTTAGGGTAGGGTTTAGGATTTCGAACCCTAAACCCTACAGAACCCTAAACTAGGTTTGGGGGTTTGGGGTGTTGAAGGTTGCGGATTTCGAGGGTGGAAGGGCTTTAGGGTTTGAGGGGTAGTCTTTAGGGGTTCAAGGTTGGGGGATGTAGGATTAAATCCTACAGGATTTTGGGTTTTAAGCTTTGGGATTTACCCTTAGGGTCCATGTATTCATTTAGTATATACATTGGCCTTCATGCAGTCCCTATATAGTTACTTTGGGCCTCATGTATCTCTACATGGGTACATGGACCCTTAGGGTTAGGGTTAGTGTTTAGGGGCTGAGGGTTTGGGATTTCGGGAGGGGCTCTTCAGGATCCTAACCCAAAGGATCCTAAGTACCTATATAGGCTCCTTTTAAGGGTTTCCTTTCAAGGGGTCTAGAAGGGTACCTTTAAGGGGTTCCCTCAAGGGATCTGTAGGGTTTTAGGGTTTAGGGTTTAGGGTTCATGATATAAATCCTGCATTACCTTAAGGACCCTAAACTATGGGATTTATGGTATCTTCCTTATTTTTGGTCATGCAGGATTCATATCATCAACCGAAGTACCTATATAGGCTCCTTTTAAGGGTTCCTTTGAGGGTGTAGAGTTTTTAGGGTTCCTGTACAGGTTCCTAAGTACCTATAAATGGTATGTAGAATGTACGGAAGTAGTACACAGGACCCTTGGTCAACGAACAGCCTCAATCTCTCAATGCCTACTCCCCTAAGGCTCTAAAGACCAATATTTGATTTTTTCATGTGTTTTGGCACAAAGACAATACTCTATGAGTTTCTGTGCTATTTTGAGCCATAGGGCTCTACAACCTGGAACCGCACCACATGTCCAACACTTCGAGTCTTGAGCCCTCTAGCGTGATGTCAATATGGGTTTCCTTCATAGTGTTTCATTACTACAATTGATGATACGAATCCTGCATTACCCATACTAAGGAATATACCGTACCGTAATTCCCATAGTTTAGGGTCCTTAAGGTAATGCAGGATTTATATCATGAACCCTAAACCCTAAACCCTAAAACCCTACAGATCCCTTGAGGGAACCCATTAAAGGTACCCTTCTAGACCCCTTGAAAGGAACCCCAGGATAAATCATCAACCGTATTACGTAGGGATTTTCAGGTGTACAGTTGATGGGAATTCTGCCAACCTCAAAGCCCTAAACGCTACCGTAAGGCTCCTTTAAGGGGTCTATAGGGCTCCTTTAAAAGGGTTCGTTTAGGGTTCTATAGGGATCCTGCTAGCCCTAATTGGGGTTTAGGGCTTGGGGTTTAGCGGTACAGTAAACCCCATAAAGTTGGAAACTGGATTAAGGCCAAATAGTGCTGGGATTCCCTATACATTACTCTTAAGGATGGAGGCTCGGGGGTTCCAACTTTTGGGCTTCTACTGTAAACTCTACCGTAAGGCTCCTGGACCCTCGTAGTGAGATCCCAACCCTTAGCCCCCAAAGCCGAAACCCTCCCCCAGACAGCCCACGACCCCTTTTAGGAGCCTTACTTGGAGGTTCATGGGTAGTTATAAGTGGAGTTATAAGTATGGTAACTATAATTATAACCCATATTAGGCGCCTTATAACTCCATTTATAACTACCCATGAACCTCCAAGTAGGGTAAACTTTAAACACCCGTTATTGGGGTACACTCTAAACCCTAAACCCCTAAACCCTAAACCCTTGAACTCTACAAGCCCTTTACAGTAGAAGCCAGAAAGTTGGAATATCAATATCGTAACTCCTTTAAGGTAAATTATAGGGGATCCTACCATTCATCCATATTCCAACTTTCTGGAGTTCCCTTTATGGACATGTTTGCGGGCCCTTAAACCCTAAACCCTAAATCTCTAAACCCTTAAACCCTAAACCCCTAAACCCTAAACCCCTAAACCCCTAAACCCCTAAACCCTAAACCCCTAAACCCCTAAACCCCTAAACCCCTAAACCCTAAACCCCTAAACCCCTAAACCCTAAACCCCTAAACCCCTAAACCCCTAAACCCCCTAAACCCCTAAACCCTAAACCCCTAAACCCCTAAACCCTAAACCCTAAACCCTAAAACCCCTAAACCCCTAAACCCTGACCCCTAAACCCTAAACCCCTAAACCCCCCCTAAACCCCTAAACCCTAAACCCTAAACCCCCTAAACCCCTAAAACCCTAAACCCCCCCTAACCCCCCTAAAACCCCTAAACCCCTAAACCCCTAAACCCCTAAACCCCAAACCCCTAAACCCTAACCCCTAAACCCCCCTAAACCCTAAAACCCCTAAACCCCTAACCCCTAAACCCTAAACCCCTAAACCCCTAAACCCCTAAACCCTAAACCCTAAACCCTAAACCCCTAACCCCTAAACCCCTAAACCCCTAAACCCCTAAACCCTAAACCCCTAAACCCCTAAACCCCTAAACCCTAAACCCCTAAACCCTAAACCCCTAAACCCCTAAACCCTAAACCCCTAAACTCTAGGACATGTTTCCGGGGCCCCGGTCCAGGCGACTGGAACATCGCTCGGACCGCAAGCGGCGGCGAGGCCCTCCAAGAAGGCCTGTTCTACTTGAAGTAGGGCTTCCCAAAGGGTACTGTTATAGGGATTACTTCCCCAAATCATAATAGTAATTCTTAACATAGAAACCCTACATTCTACTGTATCGGTACTTTGGGCCCTTTGGGCTTATATTACCATTTTGGTGAGTGTAGATAGGGCTCCTTTTGAATTTTGGTGAGTGTATATATTGGGTTTTATTATGGGGATACTAGTAATATAAACCATACTCTACTTGGAGGTTCATGGGTAGTTATAAGGGTTCCTTTAAGGGTCCCTTTAAAGGGATCTTTCGGGATTCTATGAGGGTACATGGTTTGGGGTTCATGGGTAGTTATAGGTAGGGCTATAAGTCCGCTAATGCGGGTTATAAGTATACTTAGCAAGGGTATGCTTATGATAAAGGGGCAACTTAGGAACCTAGTGCTTCTTTGGCAAGGTGGTGTTCTCAGGAAGCAGTTTATTTATTTATTTTGTACTTTCGACTTCACAAGGGCTTCTTATAGTATGTTGGTTCTACAGGTGATTTTGCAAGACTCGGTTTATCGATATTTGACTTTCCCAAAATAGGGGACCCCTAATATAGTACCCTAAATAATAGGATCCCGATTGTAAGGACCCCCAAATAAGGTACCCCTGATTTTCGGAAACTCCCATATAGTTTCCGACACTGTACCTTCGGGGAAAGTTGTCGATCACGGGGGCTTCGGGTGTGTTTTCTTAGAGTTTCAAAGGTCATTGCGCAAGACAAGAGCTATGTCGTCTTACATAGGGCTCCTGCGGGGCCTCATCGCTATTGAATTCAAGGCTTGCCAAAGGAGATATGGCTAGCAAATGCTGGATATCACTCAGCAGGGACTTGCCCTACACACACACACACACATGAGAGTGTTGCATTCTAAGGTTTAGCAATGTTTAGCATGTTCATGATTTTGGGATTTGGGGCGGTTAGGTTTTTGGGTGTCAAGGCGTTCTTGCTCAATAGTTCATAGGGGTGAGGGGAAAGCCCTGAACAATAATCCGGAATCCTTCCCTCTGGCAGAGTAGCAAGCCCCAAAGGGTCCAAAGTGCTGTTATGGGGGATACTTCCCCAACTCATTATAGTAATTCCTAATTGAGGAACCCTACATTTGTACCATAAAGGTACTTTGGACCCTTTGGGAGCTGAAGCCGAGATCGCATCAAGCTGCTTCAGATTATTGGATCCTTCAAGGACCTTGAATCCTAAAGTCTATGGGGGGAGGGTACTTGGGAACCTTACAGAACCTTTGGGAGCGGGAGATCAATATAGTAGCCTAAATAATTACCTGTAGTACTTATTTTGGAGGTTCCTTACTATAACTATAGTATAATGGGCCCCCAGATTCTAATTATTCAAGCCTCTATATTACGGGTTCATTTGCTTATCCGCCTCCTTGAACCCCCAACGACTCCAAGATCCGGTTGATCTGCCACTTGGGCTTCGCTCGTGATGAGTGTTTAGGGGTTTAGGGTTTATAGGGTTTGGGGGTTTAGGGTTTAGGTTTAGGTTTTAGGGTTGTGCGCTCGCACACCGAGGCTATGCTGATGCAGGAGTGGTGGACGCTGCACTTACCTTTGGTTAGTAGGGAATGGAAGAATGGTAGTATTAGTAGTTATAATTGTACCCCGTTCCTCCATTCCCTACTAACCAAAGGCAAGTTATAGGATTATTAGCCCCTATATTATAGTACCCTTATAGATCCCTTATAGTAACCCTTATAGGCCCCTTGATAAGGCCA